TTGGGGTAGATTAGTATTCGTTACTCTGGAATACTGTTGATATAAGAAACTTTTGAAAATTTGGTAATTTTTCAGGGCAATCTGTAATTTTGTGCTTCTGTGTAAGTATGATAGATTCTGATGAAATATGCTGTATGTGCTCTGGTCTGAAAACTTGCATTTTTAGGTAGTTAGTCAATGAACAGATACAGTTTTCTTAGTTCCTTATTTCTTGAGTAGTAGTTTTTGCCATAAAAGATGACACAAGAGGACACCTTAGTTTTTTGGGTTTTTTTAAGTTGAAATATTTCATCTGGAAAATACTACTTTAACATTTTATATTACTCTTTCTATTCATAGTTTCCTCTTACCACTAAATGCTAATATAAAAAGAGGTGAATGTTAAGTATCAGGAGATTTGGGTTCTTTATATGAAAAGGTTAATTAAAAAATAACTGTTACGGAAAAATGTTACTGGTCTAAATTTAAATGTTTTTTTCTGATGATCAGTAAGTGATACTTTTTTCTTTTTTTTAATTTGTGGAGGGGAGTAAATGCAGGTAGGCTTGTAGATGTCTAAGTGAAAAAGTACTGTGTGGGATGAAAACTGAACTTAATATTTGCACTAACACAATTACAGTTCAATCTTAACAGAATAATTGAAAGTGTGAAATATATATTTCAATTTGAAGAAGTTATTGAAGCTCATCATAGCATTAAGTTTTAAGGTAGCTGAGCAAGAATGAGTTTTGATGACTTCTGTAAATTGCTGCTCTCTAATTATGTGACTGAAGACCCTTTTGCTGAAGCTGTGGGAAGGACCAAGTACTGCAAGCGTCTGATGCCAAGTGCTACCTACTACCTCTCCCGGACTGTAACTTCTCTTTGTGGTTTGGCGATGCCAGTGCACTAAAAGTAGTGGACCTGCCACGAGGTTCCTTATAGCGACTAAAAGTTCTTGTAATTACACATTGCCATGTTAAAAACTTGTTTATAACTGTGCTAGTGTTTGACATGTTCACTTCATTTTGATGGCAGAAGTATTAAGTTTGATGTGGAAGGGCCATTTATAAAGCCAGATCGTAGCACTAGGACAGAGTGTAATCCGTAAGAGCTCAGTTGTCTTCAGTCAGCCTGAGCGAGACACCAGCTAGCGCTTGACCTTTACGAACCTTAAGACCTGCACTAAGCTTTACGACTCTGCCTGTACGCAGGCTGGATCCAGCGGAGAGGTTAGCCTCTGTCATTCCAGTGAAGATGGTGTAATTTATGTGGATAGTGTAGTAATGGTAGTGAGTTTTCACTAGATGGCGATAGAGACCTTGAGATCATTAATCAATTAAGACTTTCATTTTTGTCGCAACGTGTTTTAAACGTTGACTATCAGGTTTTACAAATGGGTTTTCCTTGTTTATTTTTTTCAGTTGTGGGTGATCTCTAGCAGGGAAGATGGGGCCTATCAGTGTGAATTTGTCAGAATTTAATGTATTGTATATCACAGGTAGACTGGTGAAGTTTCGATGTATTTTGATGGGAATTAAAAGGGCAAAAATTTAGGGTGGGAGGGAGTTAAAACTATAGTTCAGCTCTGTTTTGACCTTTTTTCAAAATGTAAATGTTTTCCTGTTTTGATCATTAGGAATGCATCAGTTCTTGTTCTTAAAACAAATTTAAAAAAAATTATTTCTGCATTTGCAATCCAAATGTTACATTGTTAATCTGAAATGTGTTAGAAGGATTCCTGGACCTTCCCCCCTGCACCCCCGCCCCCTGTGTTACTAAGTGTTTGCTTGGACATTGCTCTTGTTGTAACTATAGCAGTTGCTTGCACGGAAAAGTAATAGGAAAATATTTAATATATTTTTAGCTGTCCTTTAATGTAATTTAACAACTGGAAACAAGATAAGTCGATGTTGTACAACCAGCCAGCTCTGCACTAGCAGGCAGTGTAAGGTCATGCCTTTCTAGCCTCTTCAAAGGACAAGTCTTTTGATGAAGTGTCAGTTGTCTGATTTCCCAAACGCAGGATGCCCTCTGCTGCAGGATTTTCCTACAGGACAGCAAAGTTGTTGAGAGAATTTCATCTGTAGGCAGCTTGGTTGTTAATGGCTGTCACTCAAAGCTGGGCCTTTTCCAGGTACTTGCATTTTTTCATGTTGGTTTTCGTTGTTGCGTATTTTCGCCCAAGCAGGTAGAAAACTTGTCTTTTGAAGGAAAAGTAACACATTTGCAGTTTTCAACAGCGCTAACAGGTAGATCTAGTGTTACAGTATGCAAAATAAAAAGGGGGAAAGAGGCAATTGGGTTAATTCCAACTTTCTCATTCAGATCCTTTAGATACATTCTCAATTAATAATTACTTTAAGGCACTGGCAGTCAAAAGGAAAGAATAAAAGTGTCTTATTGCTGCAGTCTGGGAAAAGAATGGATGAGGGAGGAGAAAGATGAAGTGGAAAAAGATGAGCTCATTTTAAAAAAATTAAGCAAGGGTAGCTAAGCAGGTTAATGGCCATCTATTGTAATTGTCTTCTGTAAGAAATCCAGGCATATCTTTTTTTTTTTTTTAATTTTTTTTTTTAATCTTGTTCATCCAGGGAAATGGATCATTAGCTACTTTCTCTTAATTGCACCTAAAACATTGGTTATACAGTCTGCAATAGTTGTCATGTCAGCGGGGCAATTGTCAGACTCCTGTTTTTTTCCTTGTAGTGTGGGAGGAACAGAATTGTTAAAGGAGGGAAAGGAGCCTCCTAAAGTCTCATATAAGCGCGCTGTCTATATTTAAGCAGGGAATACAATATCAATATAACATTTTTGGAAAACTTGGAATTTGATGGCAAAAAGCTCGGCAAAGAGTTTCTTAATTGCTTTTAAATATAAAAATGGCAATCTGAAATCTTACAAGAAATAGTGCTAAATTGTTGCGGTGGCCCTAAATGGAAACTGCTGGGGTCAAACCAGTTGTCACTGTTGGTAAATTTATCATTATGTATGCAATTGTGAGCCAGTGAAAAAGCTATGTACGTTATTCTGCATGCTAATATCCAAAAAG